CTGTTATCTGTAAGATTTACTTCAGAAGGTAATTATGTATCTCTTTAATATTTTCTTGGATTGAAAATCATAGATGCAAAAATGTCCATTGTGCACATCCACAGGCTTGTCTTTCTCTTGTATCAGGCTTTTGACTTGGGGTCACAGGTCTGGAAGTCTCCCTAACACTATGAATGCATACATGATATTTTATGTACACACACACACACACACACACACACACACACACACACAGGTTTTTAAGTGAGTGCTGGAGATGGAACTAGTGTCCTCATGTTTGTTCGGCGAGTAGTTTTCTGCCTGAGCTATCTCCCCAGCGCCGCACAGGGAGGCCTGTGATGAAGTTTGTTTGCAAAGAGCTGGATTTTCTCTTCCCTTTAAAAGAGTACCTGTCATTTTTCTAGAAAAATACTTTATAACTTTTTATAATCTGAAAGGTTTGTAACTATTGCTTTAGATACATTTCTTGATTTTGCTTTAAATAATCTTATTATTGGCTTGGGAATCTCAATGCTTTTCCTTGTTCATTATTTTACAATGGGAAGGTCCATCAACTTCTAGTTTGCATTTGGTAACTACATATCTGTACATTCCTTGTTCTCACCTGAACAAATAAAAAACAAGAAGTAATCTCCACCAGCTAGTTACAAGGGATTTCAGCCTTCTTATTTTTGGAAGTATAGAAAGAGAGCATTGAGGCCCACACTGAAATTGATAGCAGGGGGACAGGCAGCTAGAGACAGTGAAACATACAGGCACAGATAAAAGGCATCAGGACAGAGAGGACAAACAGAGAAAAGAAATACAGAGGAATCTGCATACATGGATACATAGAAGGAGAGAGTTGAGAACTGAGCAGATAGAGGATGGCAGGAAAATAGACTAGCAAGGAAAAAGAAATGACTGTGAGAAGTAGGAATACTTCTAAGACAAATGCAGTCAAGCAAAGAGAGGGAGAGAGAGAGTGAAGAAAAAGATAATGGAAGAAAGAGGTAAGGAGGAAGACAGTAATGTCTTTTGCAAACACAGTGCCTCATCCTTTACCAAGCAATGGGACATGCATGACTGCAGCAAATGGACAATCCAACAGGGATGACGAGGGCTGTAGGCCATACAAGCAGGGAGGTAGCTGGTCAGGAAAGGAAGACAGACAGACAGAGAAAAGACAGAACCAAGAAGTGAGAGAGGCTAAAAGAGTTTTAAATCCAGGAACACAGGCCATTTAAGAAGCAAAATGAAAGAACAGTGTGCATTGAATGGAGAAGTCTTATCGTCTTCTCAAAAACAGACCTGGTTACCGCCCAGTCCTTGACTCTAAGACCCATGGAACGGAGCTAGAAGAAAGGGTATGATGTAGGGTAGGGGAAAGGAGTTGTAATAAAGAACAAATGTTTTAGATAAGGAAGAAGGCAAATTTCTTGGTCCTAAGTCAATAACTCAAAAAGATCCAGAATCACAGGCCTCTGAAAGAGTTCATGTAGTATAGACTTAGGCATGGCAGGTGCATGCCTACACATGACAGGCCCAGGCTTTGAGGGTGCATGCCTACACATGTGCACTTGGGAGGCTCAGGAACATCTTCCAGTCAAAGCCAGCCTGGGCTACATAGCTAGACTTGTCTTCCTAAAAGCAGAAAAGACAAAAATTGTACTGACGTAAGTCTAGACAAGAAAAGCACCTACTTTACCTGCATGAAAACAGTTTACACCCTGACTGCCCTTACGAAGTCCACCTGCACTGCCGCAGCAGGTCAGTACTTCCAGTGTGCTCATGTCTTTTCAGAACACACACTGTAGTGAACAGACTGACAAGGGCCTGCTGTCATCCAGATAACTCACCAGGGTGAATAGAACAGATAGTGGAGAGTAAGCCCTTCCTAAGCATTGTTTTGGTAGAAAAAGCAAGCAAAGAGCAACGAGTCAATTAAAAAGACATCTGTCTCTGTCATACTTACAAAGTATAATCAGAGGTGGCTGGAGAGATGGCTCAGAGGTTAAGAACACTGGCTGCTCTTCCAGAGGTTCCGAGTTCAATTCCCAGCACCCGCTTGGTGGCTCACAACTATCCGTAATGAGATCTGGTGCTCTCTTCTGGCGCGCAGGCATACATACATGAGGGCAGAATACTGTATACATAATAATAAATATATGGCCGGGCGTTGGTGGCACATGCCTTTAATCCCAGCACTCGGGAGGCAGAGGCAGGAGGAACTCTGGGAATTCAAGGCCAGCCTAGGCTCCAGAGCGAGGGCCAGGATAGGCTCCAAAGCTACAACGAGAAAACTTGTCTCGAAAAACCAACAAAAAAAAAAAAAAAAAAAAGAATAAAAAAATAAATATATGAATCTTTTAAAAAAAATAGAATCGGAAAGAGAAGTGGTGATCCTGGTAAAGATAGGACTGACAAATGACAGACTTCCTAGCAAACCTGGGAGAGAGGCGAGAAACAGCAAAAAGTAATGGGAGTACAGAAGGGTATATAGGAGACTTACTTTTTTTTCTTCATTAGTTTTATCTCAAAAAAGCATTTATTTATTTATTTGATGTGTATGAGTGATTTTGCTGCATGTATGTATGCGCTCCACATGTGTGCCTAGTGCTTTTGGTGGTCAGAAGGAGGTGCTGAATTCCTTGGAACTCGAGTTACAAAAGGGTGGTGTGAGCTACCATGTGGGTGCTGGGAACCAAACCCAAGTCCTCTGCAAGAGCAACAAGTGCTTTTGACAGATGAACCATCTCTCCTAATTTTTATTTGTTATGTATATTGGTATTTTACCTCAGTGTATGCATATCATGTGTGCAGTACCCATAGACACCAGAAGAGGGTGTTGTATTCCCTGAAACTAGAGTTAAAGACATTTGTCAGCCACTGTGTTAGTACTGGGAACCAAAACCTGGGTCCTCTGGAAGAGCAACCAATGTTCTTAATTACTAAGTGGTCTCTCTAGCCCCTGAGACCTACTTTTTATAGTATAGGTTTCACACTTTTAGAATTTCATATCATGTTTATGTCTACTTTGAAAGTTGACTGGGGAAAACACCTAAAACAAACAAACAGAAAGAAAAGCAAGCAGAGATGTGGACAGCCAGAACCTGCTAAGCAGACAGTGAAAAGCCATGAAAATAGAGCCTGGGAAGCCAACAAAAAGACTAAGGCAGGCAGACTTCCTATGAAGGCAGCAAGGTAGAAAGAGTAATTAAAAAGGAGACAAATGTGAAGGCAGGCGGGGTAAGGAATGCGTTATGAATGGAGGCCAGACCTTAAGGCAAGGGAGGACCGCAAGGCCTGGGAGACAGCTAACCCCACTGGTGGGTTGTGGACACCACCCTTGGAAGCCAAGGGAGGCAAAGCTGACAAGCAGAATGAGAAGACACAAACATTAAGCAGTGGGAGCGCAGCAGCCAGCAAGATAGACAGGCGAGAGGGCACAGCTAAAAGGAGGTGGAGACAGGTGACGAACTTAGCGGAGAGGCAGGAGCAGAAACAAGTACAAGGTCAAGATGAGAGGCAAACCATTATGGGAAATTGTGGCAAGTCCTGGAAGGTAGACAAACCAAGAGATTCAGGCTTTAAAGTGACAGAGACAGGCAGGCGGGCAGACAGATGGCTAGAGAGAGAGTGGTGGGCAAACAGCCAGAGAAGCAGACAGACAACCAGGGAGAGAAAGAAACTGCCAGTCAGTGAGGGAGGAACAGACAGACAGGCAGGCAGGCAGGCAGACACCATAGCAGAAGCAAGCAGGTAGAGAGGCAGGCAGGACAAGGTGAGGTCACCAGGAAGCAAAAGCAAGTGCTGACAGGCAGAGCGGGTGGTGGTGAGGCAGGAAAGGGGGCAGGGCAGGGCAGGGCAGGGCAGATGGACAAGTGCA